TCTTCCCACTGAAGGACTCTGAGTGGTCAAAGGCCTGCTTCCTGGGGCTGGGTGACTTTTCTGTCTGTCTCGCTTGTGATGTGGGCTCAGATTCTGGGAGTTCTTCATAAAAGTTGCTGTGGCCTGTCTTTTTCTTCTTTTTTTTCTTCAACAAGGGTATATGGGACATCTGCTCTTGGCTTACAGTCCTAGAGTGGGATGTGGTCCTCACAGAATTATCAGCAAAATAATTCTTATCATTTACACCTGAGTATTGAGTCTCTGGTTCTTTGACTACCTCCTTCTTCTTCTTCTTCTTTTTCTCTGGAAGCCCAACATCCAGGTCTACTTTCTGAGTTTTGGTGATCATTTCTGAAAACAGAAGTGGTACAAGTTATCACCACACCCAGGCCCCAGTGCTCAATTCTATTAAGCTCTGCACAAACCCAAGTATGTGATCTAAAATGTTAGGGAACTGGAAAATGGTTATGATTCTTTTGGAACAATGGGAAATCTGTGAGAAATAATAGGAAGTTTAAGTTCAGAAAGCCTTAGGTTCAAAATCTTAACTGATCAATTACTGAGCTTTCCCAAGCCTCAGTTTTTGCATCTGGAAAAATAGGGGGAGGGGGCTAACACCTCTTCCTTGAAGGGTTGTTAGAGAAAATAAATAAGATGATCTATGTAGTGTTTCTATGGTTCCTTTTTTCTAACTCTTTTCCTCAAAGCACTAAGCAGTCATTCATTCAACATGCATTTACCAAGAACCTATCCTGGGCCAGCAATTGACAGTATAACTGTGATGAAGCCAGGAAAACCAACAGTCACACTTGAGGCTTTTTAATGAATACAGTAAGCAGAAACTGTTCCTCCAGAAGGACCAACTGTGGCCCAACTAACCCCAAATTCTGGCTCATCTGTACAGTCAGTTCTTTGGACTTAGAAATGAGTCCTCCACCTTTGTGCTATGTAACTTTTATGATTTCCTAACTGCCTTCCACAAGGCACAGTAAAAGCTCCAGTTAGAACTCAAAAGACCTGGGTCAAATGATGGCTCTGATACACTCTTGCCCTTTGCTCCCCTGGGCCTCAGTTTTCCTACCCATAAGTAGACTGAACAAGAAGTTGCTCAGGTCAGGAGCCACTGCAAGCCTGTTGTACTGTTCTCACATTTCAAATTAACTGCTAACATCTAATGACTTGCAGTGATACACAGCAACCCAAAAAATGCCTAGCACTGCTTGGATAAATGGGATTACCTGTGAAAAGGGGTTGGCATGCACAATTCACTTCAGCTTCTACCTGGGCTAATTCCCGAACTCCAGCTAACAGCCCAATTTCTGCCACTCCTACACTAGGGTTAGATGTCATGGATACATCTGGGAATCTAGAAATGGAGAACTTCCCCATCAGAAGTTTAGATGATGGGAAGGAAAGACCAGGAGTTTCTACACCTGATCTCAGCCTAGAGAGGTCACACTGGTCTTGGCCCTCTTAGCAGTTTCAAAGATCCAGGCCTAGCTTATGACTCAAGTTCGTTCATAACCTCCTCCAGAAGTACCTAGAGTACCTATTTTAGGTACCTCTTGTGCTCATTCCTATCGATCCTATGTTCTGGTGTATTCCTAGGGTCTACCTCAGCGTCTGGGACACAGCAGAAGCTCAATAAATATTCACTGCATGAATTCAGCAAGAGCTACAGAAATGACATGATTAATAAACCAGCCATCAAAAAGCTGGTAGATCTGAGAGAGAAACAGGTAACATTACAAGCAAAGAGAGCGGTGTGGGGAGGATGATGGAGAACGTATAATCTGCCCCACCAGTTGTCAATATTTTCTGAAGAACGAGTTTCCAGCTTGGGCTCTCCAAGTAAAGAGACTGTCTCGGACAGATGACTTAAGACATCCAAGTGGAGGTGTTCACTGGACATGTGGACAGATGTGTCTGAGGCAACAGGGGTGGCTGTGTGGTCACAGGTGACATCAACAGGACCACATGGGTGGTAATTAAGCCTGGAACAAAATCCAAGACAACATCCAAGAAATACTGACATATAAACAGAGGGGCGTGAAGCAGGTGAGGGTGCAGACCTTGAGCAGACGGAGTCAAGAACGCCCAGGGCTTTCAGGCTATGGGCAAGACAGCTGATAAAAATAAAGCCTCGGAAGGTCAGGTTAAACCGCTTCCGTCCTCATTTCTGCCTTTCAAAACCCCGCATCCTCCTCCTCTTCAGCCCTAAGACCCCAAACGTATTCATTTCCAGTGAGAAAGCAAGAAGGAATGAGCCTTACGCTGCATCTCCTGTAAAAGCAAACGTTTTCTCTAAAAGCGCTTTAAACTCCCGCGGAGCCTTGGGAAGGGCTGGTCTGGCTATCCCGCCTCAAAAGCTTCGGCGACATTAACGAGTCCCAAGGTCTCGAAACCAGCCAGTGGCGAAGCAGCGACTCCAACCCGGCCGGGGCGCCAAGCCCCGCTCCCACCGTACCCACCAGCAGGACTCGGGGGTCGGGCCGGGCGAGGCCGCTCGAGGGCTTGGCCGCCAAAGCGACCGTCAGCAGCGTACGGCGAGGGTGCGCGGGGTCCCGGCCGCCTCCAAGCCCGAGAACTCCGCGGAGGTGGCAGCCTCGGGCCGGGGCGGGCTGTGGGGCGCGGGACGTCGTTTAGCCCCCTCCGGCCGCCGCGCGCGCGCGCACCCCGAGCCGGCCCACGGCCCCGCGCGCCCGCCGGGCAGCTCGCCCCGCGCTCACCTGCAGCACACACCGCCCCGCCTCCACGTGAGAGCCCGCTCGGCCGTGACCCGGAAGTCAACTTCCCGTCGCCGAGTCGCCCCCGCGAGTGCCAGCTCCTTCCGGGTCACCGCCTCGCGCGGACGCGATTTCCTCGGTAACCGCGACCATGGCGGCGACGCGGCAGTTGTCCAGTGGTGTGGGCCAACGTGAGGACCCCACGGGCTCCACGGACTCGCTGACCACCACCCCGAACTCCGTGCCCACCGTGTCGCCAGTGACCCCCGAGCCTGTCTCCCCGGGGCAGGTCGCCGAATCCCCGGGCAAAAACCTGTGGGAGCAGATCTGTGAGGGTAGGCAGCCCGGACTTCCCGGCGGCAGGGAAGGCTTGTTTTCGGAGCGCCCAGGGTGGGCGGGGCGGCGGACCGGGCCACCGGGGCGGCCGCACGCGGTCCCGCGTCCTCAAGGTACGCTCGGGAAAACAGCTTCCAGTGGATTCGGGCTCTGCGCGCTCAAGTGATGCTACTGTGGAGCCCACGCGTTGAGTGCCAAACGGGTTTTAATCCTTCTTGCTTCAATTTTAGTTTTTTAAAAGAAATTTATTTATATTTTTGTTGGGGGAGGGCGGTGTTACAGGGAATTGAATTCATGGTCTTTGCCCTGATGGTTTTTTTTGTTTTTTTGACACAAGGCCCAAGCTGGCCTTGAACTCATTGTGATCTTGCCTCAGCAGTGAGCCTGCTGGGATTACAAGCATGGGTTGCCCCACACAGTTTGCCCTTATATTTTGAGAGAGGGTCTGGCCAAATTGCCTAGGCAGGGCTTGAAGGTCCCATCTTCCTGTCTTCCCCATAATGATGGGATTACACGTATGCACAACGGTTACCAGGCTGTGTTAAAACTTACGCAACACCTACAAGCAGAATTTCATTTACTTATGCTTTTATGGATCTACAGACCTCTTCAATTACGTTGGACAAGTCACTTAATTTACTATCGTGTATAAGTAATAATACCTCTTGTTTTGTGGTGGTGGGAGGATGGAATAGATAGTTACAGAAGGTGCTTAACTGCCTCATTTACAGAAAGAGCTGAGTTTTTGTTCTTAAATGGCCAAGACAGTATTTTGTTCAGTTGCCCTCTCAAAGGCTGTTAGTTCAGAGTCAAGGACTCAGATTCTTTTTCTTCTTCTTCTTCTTTTTTTGTGTTACCAGGAATTGAACTCAGGACCCTGTACTTGCCAGGCAAGCACTTATTCTACTGAGCTATCTCCCAGGCCCTAGGACTCAGATTCTTGTGTCCACCATCACTATCTGTTTTTTGGTCAGTCTTGCTATGTAGTTCAGGCTAGCCTCAAACTCAAGGCACTTCTGCCTCAGCCTCCTGAGTACTGGGATCACAGCTCCACTATCTTTATCTTGAATGTAACAGCACTGTTTCTTAATCTGTGCCATCAAATATGGTAGCCAGTAGTCATGTGGGGTTGTTGAGCATTTGAGATGTACTTAGCATAGTTGAGGAACTGAGTTGCTTTTTTAATTTTAATAGCCACAAATGGTACTGGACTGTGCAAGTCTGTAAATATTTATTGGATGGGAGCAACAATGAATGCCCTAATATATAAAAGAGGGAAATGATGAGTTGAAAGAAACAGAGAATATGAGGAAGAAAATAGTGGACCTAGAATCAATAGGTCCCCTCAGGAAGACCTATTTCAACCCACATCCAGTGCTTACCAGTCCATTTGTTTAAATACAGCATAACTAAAAATTGAATGCTTTTTTTCATTAATGTATATAGATAATTATAACAAGAAATATGAAAATGATAACTTTATCAAATTTATTCAATGCAAGAACCAACTGGTCAAAATGACATCTACCTGAGCAAAATGCTCATGATAGTATGTGAACAAGCATGATGCTTGAGCTCATGATAGTATGTGAACAAGCATGATGCTTGAGCGACACTCAGGGTATACTGTTAAGTGGTTAAAATTCTAGCATTATGTTGCACTAGAAAAGAAAATATGTTTTACACTTTGGGGCTATAATCCAAGGAACTAACCCAATTACTGTCCTGTAAAAATCCCATTCAAGTACTGGAAGGTAATTACTGTGGCTGCTATTTTTCCAAGTCTGATCACTTCTCCAACTCAAACAGTTCTTTATAATACAACTTAGTAGGAGAGTGTTGGTGATGGAACTGCTTGTCTCGTTTTTCGAGGGGATCGTTGTTGTACCTACCTCACAGGCCTGTTGCAAAGACCAAATGAGAAAATGTATGCAAAGTTGCTCAGGACAGAGCCCTGCAATTAGAAGGTATTCAATAAATGTTCCTTAGTGTCAACAAATTAATGTGCTTTGCATTGTGATTTAGAGTCAGTTTATTTGATACATCAGCCCTGTAGGAGAAAGCAATGACAGAGGGTCTGGAGGCTTTCTGAAAAGCAAGTTGAATTGATACCACATACAAAGTGATGGAGGGCCAGGGAAATAGCTCAGAGCATAAGTGCTTGCCTGGCAAGCGCAAGGTTCCAAGTTCAATCCCTGGTACTGCAAAATAATAAAATAAAGCAATGGAGTTTAAAAATTGAAGTTAATGATGTCGAAGCTGGTGAATTATCCATGTGGGTACTGTCATTATTTTAGCTGATTAAATTCAGTTCTTAAATGTCTAGCAGATGCACTTTTTTGTAACAAACACAGTGAATAAGTTGTTTCAAATAGGAAAAAGGAAAACACAAGATTTATTGGAATCCTATCTTTAGGTTAAGTGTCACATTTTATTAGATTGTTTTCATTTAAAAATTAAATAACCATATGTACAGGCCTACCAAGAACCCAGTCTCATTGAAGACAAGATACAGTATAGGTAAATCACAACATAAGACTTTTCTCCTCTTTGGTTCATGCTCTTGCATGTATTTGCGTGCCCACCTCTTTGATAATTTATTTGTACATGTTCTCCACTTTTTGCCTCTTTTTTTCTAGTGACTGTGAACTTTGTATTCCCAAAATCACTTATATTAGTTTCAATAAACATTTCTTTCAAAGCCTCTAACCAAATCTTAGTGTGGCTTGTGACTTATGATGTTTAACTATGGTTTTAACCAAGACAGAGTGTAAATATTTGGGGCTTACAGTTTTCTATTTTCTGTTGCTATAACTGTTGACAATATTCTTTTTTATTATCCTTGATTCATCACTTAGGGCTGGGGAGATAGCTCAGTGGCATTAGCGCCTGCCTGACAAGAGCAAGATCTTGAGTTTGATCCCTGGTACCAAAAAAAAAAAAAAAAAAAAAAATGAAGCTCCATTTTGGGCTGACCAAATAGCTCAGCGGATTAAAGCACCTGCTTAGGGAGATGCAGGGGTCAGAGGTTCGACCCCCAGCATGCCGTGCCTGCCCCACCCCCAGGGTGCACTGAGATGATGATTGACACTGTGGGCATGGTGGCGTGTGCCTGTAATCCCAGTACTTGGGAGGCTATAAACAGGAGGATCACTATGAGTCCGATCTACACAGTGAGACCCTGTAGACCCTGTACTGAATACAAAAAAAAAAAAAAAAACACTTAATCCCATACTCTCATGCTGTGATAAAATCTGATCCCTTGTGCCACCTGCCAGGTACCAACATGAATCAGTTCTAAATCAATGCTTGTTCCTTAGCACAGCAGCTGCACCAGCCAGAGAAAAATACCAGCCAGTTTTCAGCACTGCTCATCCATCAACATCTATCAGTGCCCAAGATTTTAATCTCTCAAATGTTCTGTGGTAAAACACTTGGCACACAAGGCATTCACTGAGAAGAATCAGACATTTAGGAAGTTCTTTATTCCAACACACGTTTTTGTCCACATATGTAGAAGTATTTACTCCACTACTCACCTTGCTCCCCATCTAGGCTTTGTTATTGCACTAGTCAGTTTTATGTTGCTATAACAAAATACCTGATACAAACAACTTATAGAAGGAAAGATTTATTCTGCCTCATTGTTTCAAAGGTTCAGGCCATGGTCATTTGGCTCCATTGCTTTTGTCCTTTTTCAAGGCAGAAACATGGCAGAAGTGTACAGTGAACGAACGCTATTTACCTCATGGAAGCTGGGAAGCAAGAGGGAGATAAACCCATCAATGAGATATATCCATCAGAGGCACAGGCCTAGGGACCTACTTCCTCCAACTTGGTCCCACCTTCTAATAGCCATTTCAGCTATTAAATCATCTTGCCCTCTCAGCCAAGTATCCAGAAAGAACACATTGCCCTTGTTCACACCACTTTCATTTCCATTCACACCACTTGTATTTCCATTCCCTTGTCAACCCAAAGTATACTCAGCTTTCTCTTCAGAACATATAAATCTTTCACCTTTTACCAAAGTAGACCAATTTCTACCTCATTTCTCCAAATAAGTTATTCTCATGCATTCCATCAACATATACAAGTGCTTGGAACTGTTTTCACTGCAGGATCAGGCATGACCCAGACACTTCTAGACACCAACAAATTAATGTTTTCAGGAAATTTGAGATAGAACAGATTGCTTTCCATTACAGTGAATGTCACCATCATTCACTCAGCAGTCTAGTCCAGAAGCTGGAGATTCATAATCTGACATATTTCTCTTTTACTTTCCATGATCATGCTTATTTACCAATTTCTGTGGATTCAACAATACTTTCAGGTTGCTGTATAAAATAAGCAACTCTTCCCACTTGTTCTTAAAGTTCATTTAACAGTCACATAACATCAAATTTACCTAGTCCCATATATAGGCTTCAGTAGTTGAAAGATTATAAAATTATGAATTTAATATACCTAACTTCCTTAACCACTTGTAATACACAAGCACATTTTTTTAGCATCAGAGAGCAACTCTTAGAAATTAAATGGATCAGCTGTGTGTTTGACCCGACCTTATACTAAGCAGCTCTCTGGGAAGCTAGAGTGGGAGGATTGCAACTTCAATCCTAGCCTGGGAAATTTGGTGACTTACACCCTGTTTCAATATTTTAAAAAAATTTTAAAGTCTGGGGTTATAGCTCTTGTAACTTAGTGCAAAGACCCCAGTACTTGAGAAAAAAAAAAAATCAAGCTGGTAAATTATTTTAAAGAATTCATTGCTATTTGCAAACTTAATTAAATTCACTTGTGTCTTTCAGTATGATAGCAAGTTTGTAATTAAAATTATATTCAAATTGAAGTTGTAAGGTGAAACTGACATTGTCAAATCTGCTAGATTTTCTTAAACATTATAGAGGCTTCAAGCAAACACAACAGATTCCCCGAAGTTAATGTATTTTCCTATACTTCTTCATAATCATTTCAACTGTGTATCTTCTTTGGT